TTTCGGATCTCAAACGATCGAATAAAAATACTACAAAATAGCGAACTACGAACAAATGTCGAGCGTCCAACGGTAAAGAAAGACACTCTCTGTCAGCCTTTTTGCTACGCCTCGGTAATCGGCTGAAATTGATCTCTGTTTAGAAAATCGCTTTCGACTCTCTAGGCTCGATTACCAGCGGCGGAAATCGAGCCTGTCGACTCTCCAGACAAAAACAGATACCAAGACCTGACAGTTTTACACACGAGTAGTTTATTAATAGCAGTATTTCCGGACCAGAGAAGATTTCATTGGCCTAAATATTTATACCTGTTGCGTCGGATGCCCTAATATATATAATATAGCTTCCTGATTTATCTTTTCTCAGATTTAATCCTCGGTCGACATTTATTATTTTTAAACAAAATTGTTGTGGTAACATGAGCGTAAGGTGAGGTCGATTTCCCCCACAGCCTATTGAGTCCCCCGCTGAGTGTTTCTATAAACAACGGCGGTGCCTGAACAAGATTTGGAGTTCAAAGCTCTTTTCAAATGTTTGTGCAAATAGCTGAGATTGTTGTGACCGGTTAATATTTGGTCGTTATATGCAGCTCACCGTACTCCCCGGAAAGTAGCGTTATCCAAATAGAGTCTGTGCGGGAAACTATTGATGTTTTAGATGTCCAGGTGTATTTTTTGCTTTGTGTTTTCGCTAATTTATGGAAGAATTTAGCTGCAATTCGTTCAACGTATAAGTCACCTTCGCAGCCGTTATCACGCAGGATAACGGGACATTCTGCTGATAACAGCTGTGCTGCAAAGGAGCTTGTGTTTTGGGTCACAGTTGTTGCAAATGATCTGGCAAAGAGCCATGATTCACTTCCTGGTAATATATTCCCTTTTACATCAACATATTTGATATTAGCAAATGCTTCTGACTAAACGAATGGCACAGATCAAAAATAACTACAGTGGTAAATGGCTAAACGACGGAAGAAATCAAATCACACTTCTAGGTACATGTCTATCATTTCTCCAGAGCGTTCGTGATTGTAGGCTTAGCTTGTCTGTCTCTAAATTCCACTACCGAGCGATAGTTTATACTTCCCTTCCCCTTTGTATCACATTCACAGCTCAATCAAACGAGCCAACAGCATGGCTTAAATGTTATTGACATTTTCACAACCTCGAGTTCTATACTGAATCATTGTGCAATGATAAATATACATTTCGCTATGTAACTGCACCACTGAAAGATAGCGGAAGCGTTACTCATAGAAATCGCATACCTGATGCGAAGTAAAACACCCATAAAAACTGCAGCATTTTGAGCTGAAGTGGCGTTACCTTTATACCGAGCCGGAGGTATGTGAACAGGAGTTGTTGAGCTTCAACAGTACCGTTATCTCCAAGTTGGTGGTTTGCCCTGCCTGCGATGCAGCTACCGACGACTGTCTGTGACGCCTTGAAAAGTGACACCAGGGTTCAAAATCAATAATGGTCCGCAATGCGTACATGTATGAACTACAGAGAAAAGCAAAGGGTCTCCCAAAAGTTCCTATCATCTCCCATCTTGGTGTCCGTATTGGGCTCTCAGTGTAAACGTCATGGCCACACACGCATACTTTATCAACACAGAAGTTGTGCCTTTATAACTCTAGAGGCCATTCCCAAGTTGCCCCTTGCCTCTGTGTGAGAACGGGTCTTCGTGAAAACCATTCATTCAGATTAAAATTTCTTTCACTTGTGACTCATTTCATACAAATCAAACTCATTTTCGGATGAATGTTTCGCTCAAGGACTCCTTTTGAAAGAGAGATGACAGGAAACTCGGAAATGGCCTGCTGTACGGACGTAAATTCAATCTGCAATATGTCTGCTGGTTGTATGCGTGTGTGCATAGAATATACGTCCGCTGTCGCGAGCTCTCTGGTCAGAGCAAGATTGTACTGAGGACTGTGCTTGTAAACTTCCTCGTTTCCTATTACAATTATTACAAAATTAAATCTCAACGTTTAACGTAATGTCGTGCAGTGATCCATTCACAGAAAAGAAAACGTACTGACATCAGCCGTAAATCATTCTTTGTAACGTATGGTCCCTTTGCGACGTAAGAGCGCGCGCGTTTTCCATTGCAGAGTTTTCCTTGCCGAGAACGGTGCTACAGAGAAATTGATAGTTGAACAAGGGAAATAACGCACGGGAGAATGAGAACTTCAATCTTCTTCGTCTTTTGCGTTCTGGGTTGTTTTTGTCTAAAGCAAGAGACGACCTCTAAAGAAACAGATTGCGTTACCAGCTACTTTTGAAAGCAAAGTACTTAGTATGTCTTTGCCTTTGCGGAGCTTAGTAACAAGTTCAAGAACTCGTGAAATATTTGACGACCATTTCTACCAACCAGGTGCAAACCAAAAGCATTCGTGAAAATAGGTTGCTCACGTCACCTTTTCCGTCCTTGCCGCCTTCGAGTTTACTTACATAACTTGCTTATATTCCTATTTGTAAGGGTAGTGGCTGCCTTAGAACAACCATAACTTTAAACTTTCACTAATAACTGGGCCTTAAAATCGAAACAGAAGTCATCACCATTGGCCAATCACAGGAAATGCAAATAATGTAAAGAGCCAATCAGAACTCGAGGCAAAAAAATGCACCTAGTGCCAAGCGCGGGAAAAACGGGGGTAAGCCAAGTCAACGATTGGTTTGCTTTGCTTCAGATTGGTTGATAGAGTGTTTTCCCGTGACGTCATGGCAGCCATATAGGTGTTCCAAATCAATGCAACGGCGGCCATGTTGGGGCACCCAAACCAATCCCCTGGGAATTCAACTCATTTCTCATGTAATCACTTTCTTTTGTTCCAATTATCTGGCATGGCTGCTGGTCACGTGGGTGAAAACGCTCAATGGAGGGTTTCGGCTGACGTGTTTACAGCCTTGTTGCCACCCCATCCAGACCACATGATGATTCCTTAGAGGGGCGGTTACACTCATGCAATTTGCCAGACCCAACTAATTGCATGGGAGTATCAGGAGTCATGGGCTCCTGGAGTATGTACAAACAGAACAATTGTAACCTTCCAAATGATTCATCACATCATCTGAATTGGGTGGCAACAATCGAATCCGTTTATTGGTTAGACTGCGCTTCACTGATCTAGTGAACTAACATATGCAAAAGCAACACAAATAAGTTCTTGAGTCGTTGGTGAGAAAGCCTGACAGAAACCGTTCCAATCCTATAAAATGCTCAACATGACACTCTGGTCACATATTAATCATCTGCTTCCAAGAGGAAGCCGTCCGTAAAATAACATGTATGCTTGACTCTTAAGCACTTTCGTCTCCGCTATTGCCACCACGCTCGCGTCACTGACGTGAAACCACTGACCATCTGGAGCAGGCTCATGACGACATCTTGAATTGCCATGTTTGACACCGGTCTTCCCAGCAGTCCACATGTTTTTTATAAACTCAGTTAATTCACTCATGCTGGTTATCTTGTCATAAAGACCTTTGACAGGTGGCTCCCTCACTTTAACACAAGCTGTGTAATGCCCACTGTTCATGTTGCCACTGTGTTGAATCACACCGTACAGTGAGTACAACACTTGTCCTTCTGAGTCAGGTCGAGTCTGAAATAGAGAAAATGAACTTTCAGAATGGAGATGTTGAACCTGGGCAGTGTCATTTGGTAACATATTGGAAAGTTTCAACGGTGTTTTAGTGTTTTTTTTTTTTTGTGGGTAAATAAATATCAATGCTAAACATGTTGGAGAGGCCCCCTCTCACCCTCACCAGCCCCCAACCCCTCAAGGGGATTACACAGGTGGGAGGGGAGAGGATAAGAGGCTCTACAGGCTCTGTTTACATCACTATATCTAATCCCTGAGCGTAGGGCCTGTTCACAAGGCAGTAAAGAACCTGAGTCAAAATACGCCATGACTAAACATGTAAAAATTCGGGTCATACAGTCAAACCTGTATGTAATGGTCACCCTTGGGAAATCGCTGGGTGACCGTTTTATGCAGGGTGACCGCTATATACAGATCAACTTTACAGTAGATAGAAGGCCGCGATTTTAATTCATGTAATCGTTTGGTGACCGTAATATACAGGGTGACCGCTATATACAGGACCATTACATACAGGTTTGACTGTATACTGGTTTGACTGTAATCGGCACTACACGACAAATACATTCCTTTACGTAAATCTAATAAACTAGACGACCCCCAAACACCCTTGTACTTCTTCACGCAGTCCCCGAGAAACCCTCCCCAAGCTGACGTAACGAGACAAAACGAACGAACACGTCACGATGTCCGGGTCCAATCCATCTTTCTTGACTTACCTTTCCACTTCTACTGCAAAACGGCCCCAGGTTCAGCTCCACAGGAAAGTCCACATGTTTAGTGAGTTTTCTTAAAGTGAAGCGAGCCTGCTGGAAGCGCTTCAGATGAAGGGTCAGCACTGGAGGAGCGAGAGAGATAAGCATCTGTTTACTAGCAACCGTGTACACAGTCCGGTGCTTAGAATCTTTCTTCTTGCTCGTCGAAGGTTTACTTGCCGTTGCACCTTTTGGTTCGTCTGCAAAAGACGGGAAAATACAATTAAGTCAGCCATTAGCATTCTTTGAAGCCCTTTATGTGGGCTTCCACGCACCACTGATGAAAAAAGAAGGCGCAACGGACTAAATAACGACTACTGTAAAACAGTCTTACCACGACACATTCCGAAGTAAGTATTGCGTGACATGACAGTTTTTTTTTAGCGCGCACATTTTGATTTAGTGCGCGACATCTTGGCTTGGGGAAATAAGGTAGAATTGAGGAGAAAGGAAAAAAGCGTCTTAGATCTCTCATGCAAACCTTCTAGACGGGCGCCAAGATGCACAAACAAAATATCCAGCGCCCAATTACTAGTATGCAAAAAATACAAAACATGACGAGGAAACCTAATAAAAATCACGGGGCTTTTAAACTTAAATTCCCTCCCAAGAAATACAAGATGATTAAAACTATACATTATTCTAGTAAATGACGTATTGATAAGCCATATTTGTACGCTTAACAGAATTAGTAATTGCTGATAATAGATGTTTGGGTTCTTTCCTAAACGATGCAACAGATGAAGAGCCAGTGATCTCAAAAGGAAGAGAGTTAAGTATTTTGGACCACGATATTTTTCCACCCAGCGAAAAAGCCTGTATTACAGGCGACGTAACATACAGTAATTTCTCGAATAGAGTTCAAGGTAAAAAAAAATGTGAATGTAAATCTTATTTGTAGTAGTCATGCACTTAGCTATACAAGCACTATGCTTAGCTAGTTTACAGGTATGCCACTGAAACAAAGGAAACAAATGTTTCAAATAAACGTAACATAGTTAAAAATCCCAACTGAAAGTGAACAATAACAGAAATTCTTGACTGACCTTCTAAAGACGAGTCTCCAGTATCATCGTCATCCTTATTGTCACGTTTCGCCGCACTGGCTCCTTTGCCCTCGTTCACTCGTTGCGCTCGTTTGCTACACTCTTCGCAAGCAAACTTATTATTACCATCTAACATTTCAGAGACGCAAAACTGGCTTAAACAGGACATGACAGAACATTCCCCTGGGGAGGGGTNTACCTGTTGCGTCGGATGCCCTAATATATATAATATAGCTTCCTGATTTATCTTTTCTCAGATTTAATCCTCGGTCGACATTTATTATTTTTAAACAAAATTGTTGTGGTAACATGAGCGTAAGGTGAGGTCGATTTCCCCCACAGCCTATTGAGTCCCCCGCTGAGTGTTTCTATAAACAACGGCGGTGCCTGAACAAGATTTGGAGTTCAAAGCTCTTTTCAAATGTTTGTGCAAATAGCTGAGATTGTTGTGACCGGTTAATATTTGGTCGTTATATGCAGCTCACCGTACTCCCCGGAAAGTAGCGTTATCCAAATAGAGTCTGTGCGGGAAACTATTGATGTTTTAGATGTCCAGGTGTATTTTTTGCTTTGTGTTTTCGCTAATTTATGGAAGAATTTAGCTGCAATTCGTTCAACGTATAAGTCACCTTCGCAGCCGTTATCACGCAGGATAACGGGACATTCTGCTGATAACAGCTGTGCTGCAAAGGAGCTTGTGTTTTGGGTCACAGTTGTTGCAAATGATCTGGCAAAGAGCCATGATTCACTTCCTGGTAATATATTCCCTTTTACATCAACATATTTGATATTAGCAAATGCTTCTGACTAAACGAATGGCACAGATCAAAAATAACTACAGTGGTAAATGGCTAAACGACGGAAGAAATCAAATCACACTTCTAGGTACATGTCTATCATTTCTCCAGAGCGTTCGTGATTGTAGGCTTAGCTTGTCTGTCTCTAAATTCCACTACCGAGCGATAGTTTATACTTCCCTTCCCCTTTGTATCACATTCACAGCTCAATCAAACGAGCCAACAGCATGGCTTAAATGTTATTGACATTTTCACAACCTCGAGTTCTATACTGAATCATTGTGCAATGATAAATATACATTTCGCTATGTAACTGCACCACTGAAAGATAGCGGAAGCGTTACTCATAGAAATCGCATACCTGATGCGAAGTAAAACACCCATAAAAACTGCAGCATTTTGAGCTGAAGTGGCGTTACCTTTATACCGAGCCGGAGGTATGTGAACAGGAGTTGTTGAGCTTCAACAGTACCGTTATCTCCAAGTTGGTGGTTTGCCCTGCCTGCGATGCAGCTACCGACGACTGTCTGTGACGCCTTGAAAAGTGACACCAGGGTTCAAAATCAATAATGGTCCGCAATGCGTACATGTATGAACTACAGAGAAAAGCAAAGGGTCTCCCAAAAGTTCCTATCATCTCCCATCTTGGTGTCCGTATTGGGCTCTCAGTGTAAACGTCATGGCCACACACGCATACTTTATCAACACAGAAGTTGTGCCTTTATAACTCTAGAGGCCATTCCCAAGTTGCCCCTTGCCTCTGTGTGAGAACGGGTCTTCGTGAAAACCATTCATTCAGATTAAAATTTCTTTCACTTGTGACTCATTTCATACAAATCAAACTCATTTTCGGATGAATGTTTCGCTCAAGGACTCCTTTTGAAAGAGAGATGACAGGAAACTCGGAAATGGCCTGCTGTACGGACGTAAATTCAATCTGCAATATGTCTGCTGGTTGTATGCGTGTGTGCATAGAATATACGTCCGCTGTCGCGAGCTCTCTGGTCAGAGCAAGATTGTACTGAGGACTGTGCTTGTAAACTTCCTCGTTTCCTATTACAATTATTACAAAATTAAATCTCAACGTTTAACGTAATGTCGTGCAGTGATCCATTCACAGAAAAGAAAACGTACTGACATCAGCCGTAAATCATTCTTTGTAACGTATGGTCCCTTTGCGACGTAAGAGCGCGCGCGTTTTCCATTGCAGAGTTTTCCTTGCCGAGAACGGTGCTACAGAGAAATTGATAGTTGAACAAGGGAAATAACGCACGGGAGAATGAGAACTTCAATCTTCTTCGTCTTTTGCGTTCTGGGTTGTTTTTGTCTAAAGCAAGAGACGACCTCTAAAGTTTGTTCTTTGTTTTCAGTGATGTCGTTGTGCAAGAAAGTAAGAGAAGTGCGAAATGGTGTAATTTGCCATTAGTTATGAAAAATATCTCCGGCTCGGTATGGGCACAATTCACTCAAACTAACGGAACTTTGAACAACTTGGCTTTAATTAGTTTGACCGTACACACCAGCAGTAGTCTACTGTGCCTGTCGTTGATTAATTCTCTGATAATAATGACATAATACTCTGATTCTCTCAAAAAATATTTCTCTACAATTTGAATAGTCGTGCTTTCATGGCTAGTCACAACATCATTTCCATAAAAAAATCATTTGCTAATATACCATCAAGATATCACGTACAACTCGCACAACAGATTGCGTTACCAGCTACTTTTGAAAGCAAAGTACTTAGTATGTCTTTGCCTTTGCGGAGCTTAGTAACAAGTTCAAGAACTCGTGAAATATTTGACGACCATTTCTACCAACCAGGTGCAAACCAAAAGCATTCGTGAAAATAGGTTGCTCACGTCACCTTTTCCGTCCTTGCCGCCTTCGAGTTTACTTACATAACTTGCTTATATTCCTATTTGTAAGGGTAGTGGCTGCCTTAGAACAACCATAACTTTAAACTTTCACTAATAACTGGGCCTTAAAATCGAAACAGAAGTCATCACCATTGGCCAATCACAGGAAATGCAAATAATGTAAAGAGCCAATCAGAACTCGAGGCAAAAAAATGCACCTAGTGCCAAGCGCGGGAAAAACGGGGGTAAGCCAAGTCAACGATTGGTTTGCTTTGCTTCAGATTGGTTGATAGAGTGTTTTCCCGTGACGTCATGGCAGCCATATAGGTGTTCCAAATCAATGCAACGGCGGCCATGTTGGGGCACCCAAACCAATCCCCTGGGAATTCAACTCATTTCTCATGTAATCACTTTCTTTTGTTCCAATTATCTGGCATGGCTGCTGGTCACGTGGGTGAAAACGCTCAATGGAGGGTTTCGGCTGACGTGTTTACAGCCTTGTTGCCACCCCATCCAGACCACATGATGATTCCTTAGAGGGGCGGTTACACTCATGCAATTTGCCAGACCCAACTAATTGCATGGGAGTATCAGGAGTCATGGGCTCCTGGAGTATGTACAAACAGAACAATTGTAACCTTCCAAATGATTCATCACATCATCTGAATTGGGTGGCAACAATCGAATCCGTTTATTGGTTAGACTGCGCTTCACTGATCTAGTGAACTAACATATGCAAAAGCAACACAAATAAGTTCTTGAGTCGTTGGTGAGAAAGCCTGACAGAAACCGTTCCAATCCTATAAAATGCTCAACATGACACTCTGGTCACATATTAATCATCTGCTTCCAAGAGGAAGCCGTCCGTAAAATAACATGTATGCTTGACTCTTAAGCACTTTCGTCTCCGCTATTGCCACCACGCTCGCGTCACTGACGTGAAACCACTGACCATCTGGAGCAGGCTCATGACGACATCTTGAATTGCCATGTTTGACACCGGTCTTCCCAGCAGTCCACATGTTTTTTATAAACTCAGTTAATTCACTCATGCTGGTTATCTTGTCATAAAGACCTTTGACAGGTGGCTCCCTCACTTTAACACAAGCTGTGTAATGCCCACTGTTCATGTTGCCACTGTGTTGAATCACACCGTACAGTGAGTACAACACTTGTCCTTCTGAGTCAGGTCGAGTCTGAAATAGAGAAAATGAACTTTCAGAATGGAGATGTTGAACCTGGGCAGTGTCATTTGGTAACATATTGGAAAGTTTCAACGGTGTTTTAGTGTTTTTTTTTTTTTGTGGGTAAATAAATATCAATGCTAAACATGTTGGAGAGGCCCCCTCTCACCCTCACCAGCCCCCAACCCCTCAAGGGGATTACACAGGTGGGAGGGGAGAGGATAAGAGGCTCTACAGGCTCTGTTTACATCACTATATCTAATCCCTGAGCGTAGGGCCTGTTCACAAGGCAGTAAAGAACCTGAGTCAAAATACGCCATGACTAAACATGTAAAAATTCGGGTCATACAGTCAAACCTGTATGTAATGGTCACCCTTGGGAAATCGCTGGGTGACCGTTTTATGCAGGGTGACCGCTATATACAGATCAACTTTACAGTAGATAGAAGGCCGCGATTTTAATTCATGTAATCGTTTGGTGACCGTAATATACAGGGTGACCGCTATATACAGGACCATTACATACAGGTTTGACTGTATACTGGTTTGACTGTAATCGGCACTACACGACAAATACATTCCTTTACGTAAATCTAATAAACTAGACGACCCCCAAACACCCTTGTACTTCTTCACGCAGTCCCCGAGAAACCCTCCCCAAGCTGACGTAACGAGACAAAACGAACGAACACGTCACGATGTCCGGGTCCAATCCATCTTTCTTGACTTACCTTTCCACTTCTACTGCAAAACGGCCCCAGGTTCAGCTCCACAGGAAAGTCCACATGTTTAGTGAGTTTTCTTAAAGTGAAGCGAGCCTGCTGGAAGCGCTTCAGATGAAGGGTCAGCACTGGAGGAGCGAGAGAGATAAGCATCTGTTTACTAGCAACCGTGTACACAGTCCGGTGCTTAGAATCTTTCTTCTTGCTCGTCGAAGGTTTACTTGCCGTTGCACCTTTTGGTTCGTCTGCAAAAGACGGGAAAATACAATTAAGTCAGCCATTAGCATTCTTTGAAGCCCTTTATGTGGGCTTCCACGCACCACTGATGAAAAAAGAAGGCGCAACGGACTAAATAACGACTACTGTAAAACAGTCTTACCACGACACATTCCGAAGTAAGTATTGCGTGACATGACAGTTTTTTTTTAGCGCGCACATTTTGATTTAGTGCGCGACATCTTGGCTTGGGGAAATAAGGTAGAATTGAGGAGAAAGGAAAAAAGCGTCTTAGATCTCTCATGCAAACCTTCTAGACGGGCGCCAAGATGCACAAACAAAATATCCAGCGCCCAATTACTAGTATGCAAAAAATACAAAACATGACGAGGAAACCTAATAAAAATCACGGGGCTTTTAAACTTAAATTCCCTCCCAAGAAATACAAGATGATTAAAACTATACATTATTCTAGTAAATGACGTATTGATAAGCCATATTTGTACGCTTAACAGAATTAGTAATTGCTGATAATAGATGTTTGGGTTCTTTCCTAAACGATGCAACAGATGAAGAGCCAGTGATCTCAAAAGGAAGAGAGTTAAGTATTTTGGACCACGATATTTTTCCACCCAGCGAAAAAGCCTGTATTACAGGCGACGTAACATACAGTAATTTCTCGAATAGAGTTCAAGGTAAAAAAAAATGTGAATGTAAATCTTATTTGTAGTAGTCATGCACTTAGCTATACAAGCACTATGCTTAGCTAGTTTACAGGTATGCCACTGAAACAAAGGAAACAAATGTTTCAAATAAACGTAACATAGTTAAAAATCCCAACTGAAAGTGAACAATAACAGAAATTCTTGACTGACCTTCTAAAGACGAGTCTCCAGTATCATCGTCATCCTTATTGTCATGTTTCGCCGCACTGGCTCCTTTGCCCTCGTTCACTCGTTGCGCTCGTTTGCTACACTCTTCGCAAGCAAACTTATTATTACCATCTAACATTTCAGAGACGCAAAACTGGCTTAAACAGGACATGACAGAACATTCCCCTGGGGAGGGGTCATAAGTAGGCTGTAGAGTAAGAGGTTTCCGCGATATGCAACCAGGCTCGTTTTCCTCTTCAGAATCAACTTCACATTCATCAAAATTTTCTCCATTTGTAACAGCTAACTCTATTGCTTCTTCTGTCCCGTTTTCCTTATTAGAATCCGAACAACGCCCTTCGTATTCTCGGTCATTTTCTTCGCGCCTAGCACCAATGCTATTATCAAAACAATGTTGTTCACCATTATCAACAGAAATAGTCTTAAATTCACCCGGAGGAAGACCTTCTGTTTCTGCAAATGTTTCAATGCCAGTCACAAGGTGTTCGTCAAGTTGAGGAAGGCCTTCCGTTGCAGTGAACGTTTCACTGCAATTTTTAAGGGTACATTTTCCTTCTTCTTGGACAGCATGGTCTTCTAAGGGATTTTCTACACAAGTCGAAGTAAAAGCCTTATCCAAACTCGTCTTCAAAGCTGAGTTTACGATTTCTTCCACAATTGCATTGATACTCGACCAGACACTTCGAGTTCCATCATTTGCGAGCTTGACCTCGGGTTCATTTTGACAGACTTGAAGTTCATTTTCCAACTTGCAGTCGCTTGGCTCTGTCGGTAAAGACGTATTGCCTCCGTCAACACATTGCATATTCCTTGAATTTAGCTCAGCCATTTCGTCTGCGTGAATCGTTTTGTTACAATTCGAGAAATCCATCGATGACATCTTATCGTCACTGAGCAATTTTGATTGGTGATGTTTATCATCTCCTTCGCAAGTAACGCAATCACCTTCGTTTGTAACTTTCTGTTGACTATCGTTTCTCTCCGTCTGAAGATTCTTTGCAGCATCCTCATTTAGAATCACTTGATTTTCTCCCAGACTCTTCAAAGAATCTTCCACTACCTCTGTCCGTTCTGTACAATCACGCTTAACAGTTTTATCTTCTTCATAGCCAGCTCTGTTGGAATCTAAAGCACTAGTGTCACAATCCTTTTCACTCGACTGCGCCGAGTGCTGCAAGTTGCTTCCAACACCTTCCAACTGGACATCATAATTGGGAATAGCCTCAGGACCGCCGCTAGAGTTGACGGATTCCTCTGTTGCGTTATCGTTGCCCACTGGACCAACACTTCCGTTCAGTTTGTGTTCTTGTTCGTCCAAGTCAGAAACGTTCATCTGATCGAGTTCATCGCCTTCCTCTCCCGAGTCCCCTTTTTCTTCTTCATCATCTTCTTTGTTATCGTTTGCATCCTGAAAAGCTTTCCCCTTCTTTCCATGACCTTTTCCTTTTTTTCCCTTCTTCTACACAAGACAAAAATAGCGCAAATGCAAAATGACAAAATGTTCGCGACTTCCCAAAGAATTACTCTAATTCTTGCTACGGTGTAATCACAAAACCGTAACTTTAGAGGTTGTTATGGTAACATGACGTCACAAGGTTACGTCACGTCGCGTCGCAGCTTCCTGTTCAAAATTGCAGGTTCAAGAACTATTGAATATCGAATTGCAAATGACAACGATACTTTCACCGGCAAAGAGTCGTTACCACAACAGAATGTTTTCACTTGAGTATCGAAAGTAATTTGCCCGCTTGCATTCCCTGCTTGCTTTACCTTTGCAATACCACGCTTTCGGATTGGTTTACAAAACTCGCAACCATTTTCTCGTCCAATCAGAAGTATAACCACAACCAACCGTCATTCGTTCGCACACATTTTCCCGCGCTCCCCCCCGATAGAGAAATTTGCCAGGTTTTGGTTGTTCAAAGCCCGATTAAGCCAACCTAAAAATTTTAATTTCAGTTTTGTAACTTTGCCGTGAAATTTTCTATTTATATTGTTTTGCCTTTTGTTTTGAGTTTAAATAGTCTCAAACTACATGAAACATAGCAGTGAAAAACAGCGTTAACCGGCTTTCGAACAACCCGAACCTTGAGATGTCATTGTTCACCATATTGACCGTGTCCTTTGCAATTCGCACGAGTGATTCTTTTGGTTTTGGGTTTTCAAGAATATTGAATACACTCACCCTTTCAGCTTTTCTAGCTGATTTCTGCTGATGTTTACTGGGGGTCTTTGCCTTGGAATCTTTTTCTGTTTCTTTGCTACTGACTTCGACGTTTGTTGATTCGCTGTTAGGAGTCTTTGGCGATTTTGAGCTTTGTTTTCCTCCTTTTGCGTGGAACTTATCGCTGTAGGATTCCTTAAATAATAATACAAAAAGAAGATCTTCAGCACAACATATGACAGTGGCAAGCATAGTTGTGTTAATGCACCAAAGAAGTACACAGCAAGCTAAATTCTACAAGTCTGAACGATTATCTTGTAGCAAAACTGAATTTTAAACTAGTTTTTTTATGAAACAATAAGCTAAAATAACATGTGTCGTGACCTAGCATCCTTTAAAAAGCCGAGAAACTTTATGGGATTGTTCTCACTTGAGTTGATCATTCATACCTGCGGTGGTGACATCAGCGGCAAAGACAAGTCCAGAAATGTCTCCTCCACTTTGAATTCCTAAAAAGATACGATGATCCAGAAGAGGGGATGTAACGTTTGAACCGAACTGGAGTTAAACAATTAGTATATTTCCCGGGTGTTTCCATGCTTTAGCGGCGATTAAAATTAACGAATGGCAAAAGAAGCAACCTCTTCCTCGTCAAAGGAGAAATCTTGAAAAAAAACCCAGTTTATTTTGTGTAAAAGGTCACATCAGGGTGGTATGTGTACGTGTGTGCATGTTTGGGGAGGGGGGGAGTGAAGGGCAAAGGCAGCTGAGCTTATTTTATGTGAAAGGCCTTGAGGTGGTGGTGGTGGTGGTGGTGGTGTGGGTGTGGGGGCAGGGGTGGATCGTTACAGAGGGGGGACACTAAAATACTTAAACGGTTTATAATTAACTAATAATTCCGAGGAAGAGGGGCAAGGCGCACGCAGTCTTTAACCGAAAAAGCCTGGTAACTAACCTGATGACACTGATGACACGTCACGATGCTTACGAGCCTGCCAGCAAACACACTGTCTATCAGCGGTGCCTCAGCACTTGCGCCATACTCTGTGGGAATAACAAAAAGAGTCCGAGTTTCAAATTTGGCTGATACGGCTGAAATGCCTTTAACATCTATCTCTAAAACGTTTAGAGATAAATCGTGCTGAATAGGTTGTTTTGACAGATGTTCAGTTTTCGTTAACAAGGAAACCAAACAAATCCGGCAAGCGCGTCAAAAACAGCGCAACGAACTAATCATAGCTCGAGGTAAAATATCCGTAACCCGTGAAAAGCGCGGGAAAATCTCATCACCCAAACCACGTCGTTTTCTGGTTGGATAAAACGTATTGCAGGGATTGTATGAGCCAATGATCGAGTTCAGCAAACACAAAGTAGTTCACAGGTTCCCAGTAAGTATCTATGAAATTACTTTCAAAAATCAACACAACAAAAACCAAGGAATCTTTCTTTACCTTTAATTTGCGTTCTTTTGTTGTCGTCCAAGGTCTTGGCGTCAGCTCCGCCAGTAACACCAAAAGATTTCAACACAGCCAACTTGACTCGCTAATGAGAAAACAAATATAATATGTGACTTCAATTTGTATTATTATGATTTCCATTGGCGTCACCAACAGTCTCAAGATCTGACTTACTCAACGTAGCTTCGGAAAAAATCTTCAGTTAAAAATCTGAATCTAACATTAAAGATGGCGTTTCCTTAGAAAAAAATACATTCAGAGAAAAATGAAACTTCCCGTTTCCTTCCCTTTCGTGTTAAGGTCGCCATGTAGGAATTCATTAAGAGCGAAAAATATATTAAGCAAATTCAGGAGCCCATCACTAAGAGCGTGCAACTCCCATACTAAGCCTATGTCTATTTTTACGCTTCTTTTCCCGCGAGATGCGGGAACTGCGGCTCATACAACCCCGCTCTACATGAGCGCGCGTCAGTAAGTTGTTTTTCTTTTTAATTGTCCGGTGAAATGATGACGTCAGTTAAAAATTAAGTCCGTGCTTGTGATTGGTCAGTGAGGTTCCTGCGGGGGTCTGAATTCGCAGTAAATTCAAACAAAAAATAGATCGGTCTGTGAAAACGCCGTGACAGGAATATGGGGTAGTCGCACGCTCCTAGCTCCTACCAAATTACCTTAAGCTCTTCAGTTCTGATAGAATCGAACAGATAACGAAGTAGTTCTTGGCTGTCTTGCTGTCTAAATCCCTTGAACCTTGTGGCCCTGTAGAGAACAGATCGTTAGAAATTCATTAGAGATTCTTCTTCGGAATCCAGCAACGCTTTACAAAATGTATAAACCAACTAGATATAAACTAAAAGAACTAAACATAATCGTAATTACAAAACTAAACATCGTAATAAATACGTTTAAAAAGATGCGCCTTGACTTTTAATGTCCTCAATTAATCTGGTAGGGCATTCCACAGTCTGGGTCCCATATGCGAAAATGCTCTATATCCATATGATTTAAGATAGAATATAGGCTGAATTCAGATAGAATTTAGACCTTGCATAGGTCTGTAACATCAATCGGTTATTTTTGTAGCCCCGCTCCGACTATGGTGCATTAATCGAGAAACCTTTTTTCTACTTTAAATACTATTTTGTCACTCTACTATCTAAAAAAAACTTTGTAAAAAAATACCCACGTTTTGCAAATCTCTCCAAACAGCTGTCGTGGATTCAAAGTGCGATCGCTCGAGCCTCTTGAATCTTGTAGTAACTTCCATAACGCTTTAGTAAGTGATCCTGGTGCCTCCTGAACTGTTACCTTGAGTCGGGGCTGCAAATAACCAATTCAGAGAAATTTTTACTGTGAGAATCAAATGTGACGCAACTGTTTTAGTGCTAAAACACTCCGAAGAAAACAGTAAGAACTACCCTAAGAGGATTAAAGGTTGAAAAATCTACATTTACATCTATTTTATATTTTAAGGTGCTCTGACCTAACTAAAAAAAGTTTAAAAACCTTACTTACACAAATGGACAAAGAAAAATTCGCGTCTTCAGAGTACGCTATTTCAAAATTGATATTAAGTGCAACGAAGAATATGGAGTAAAACCTAGTTTTGTGGGTTTTTTTTTTTTTCATTTCATGCTGTCTGTATCTTTTGCAGAAGAAGTGAAACCTCATCCGCCGGCATTCTTCACGCTACCACAAGCTTGCCGATTGCTGATCCATGAATATGAAGCAGATATCTCAAATGAAAACAACTAAGGATATTTAATTCAGGATTCTCGAGAACAAATCCAGCTAGTGCCACGCTGGATAGAGAAAAGTACGCCAATTATTTAGCTACTTTTCAATACGTCGCCTCCAGCTGCCTCTTCTTGGGAACGAGACTTCACAGTCTGCTTGTACTTACCAGGTCTTTGTTATCTGAAGATAAATGTTGGGAAAACCCTTCCTGTGTAGCACAAGAAGCTGCTACGTGAAGTAACTCTGTCTGGCACAGGTTCTGCCAAAAATAAATTAAAAAAGAAAACAGGAAACTTGTAAAATTCATTCCTGATGTCAACACATACATCGCGTGTCTACAAGTGAGGAAATTCTTCGATCACACAAGACTAACTAGTGAAATTTTTTCTGCTTTTCGTTTACATGTTGCAGGCTCACATTAACTGGCTGTTTCATTGGCATACATTAGGATAATACACAAGTGGTAAACAAGGCTACTGGTTGAATGTGACTGAGCTTAGAGGAAGCTTCTTGCTGCCCTCCCAAGATCTCCCCATTTTTTCCACAACTTGACAGCTCATATTTGAGGCTAATTGCCAGTGCTAGTTTTGCCAGCATGTCAAAAAAAGAAACCCAGTCAGGCAGGCTAAAATATAACACCTGGGATTAACTTGCTGTGAAGGCTACTTTCACATATTTACTGCACCCAAATTCACAATGAGTCAATCAGAAGCCTGTTCATTTGGTGTCATCATGGTAGTTAGATCGACTTTGTTTTGCCATAAGACAAACCATGACTCAACCAGATGCACTTTATATGGTGCTGAAGTGCAACAAAAAGGTATGATAAGGTATAAACAGCATGCAAGCTACACAGTGTACTGTAACTAACTGCTCACCTGCATGACAGCATTAAAGAAGCATGTATTACCAAGATTTGACAGACCCTGTGAATAATGCAATGGCAAATGGTTAACTATTATTATTGAATTGGTGGTGCACTTCCTGTCAGCAGATGCTTTTCAGGTTACACAAGTTAAGTCTGTAACAGACTCTGTGTAGTAGTCCCAGTTTTTCTCTTTCAGGCCATCATTCTCGTCCCCAGAGTCCGTGCTCCTTTTGGCCAGCACCAAGAATCGCGACCTCTAGGAAGGTCCAATTTTCTGAGCATGCGCAGAGTAAATGTTTCGTATTCTCAGCCCATCAGATTTGTCAGACTTGACTCTGAGCATGAGCAGAGTGACTGGAAGTCCTTGAATCGTGGACTTTCAGTGTTCAACCCTCCCAGAGGTTGCGATTCTTGGTGCTGACCAAAAGGAGCATGGCCTCCAGGGACAAGAATGTCAGGCCATGCTACAAAGAGTGAAAGAGATAAAGTGTGTAGACTGTTCATGTAGGCTTGCAGCCATAAAATTTCGTGTCAGCCATGTATTCTAAGCATACCTTAATTCGGCTCCTGAGCTGGCCATTAACCTTGGAATCATTTTTTGTTGATTTATCAGTGGAAACAGCCTTGTTTGGACTAGAAAGAGATGCCTCCAACTCTGAAATCACATTAAAGGTGTGGGAAAAATATTTCAGATGAGTTTACATGCACTCACAATTTTAGACAGTCACTTGTTGTCAAATGAATCTTTCAAAGAGCAGAATGTCACACATCAGTCATGGACATACATACGATTACACTATACAACTGATGTAAATAACTCAAAGGAAGACCAGTTTATATGTAGTTACGATAATAAATCTTTAATTAAGAAGTAACCTCCAGCACGGGATAGAGTTCATTTCTCAATTCCTTCAAAGTGGAATTACTTAAGTACAGGAAGATGGTGAACTGATCAGCCTTATTCTCAACTTACTAGGCTGTGACATGACATGGCTATGAGAATATCCCCCCCCCCCGCCCCCCCCGTGGGTGCCTCCCTATGGTCATGATTCTAGTCAAGCTACCAGTGCTCATTTTTGTCAAATTAAAACAGATTCCGCTCAAAGTTCGAGCAATAAGTGCAAAAATTATTTACTAAAAATCTACTCACAGCGCAGTAACATGACCCTGCGATTAAATTCTCAAGCATTCTCGAGAAATTTAATGTCAAACCTTGTAAGAATGCTTAATGCATGTGTTATTGTGTTTAAAACTGACATGAAATGTCTGTTTTAATTGAAATATGAATAGCTTCCCATGGGGTCACCTTGAGAGCGTAAGTCTCGATAAGTTCTTCTCACCTGTATTCAAAACATTACCATGCCGTAAGGTTTTTTCTGGTAACTTTATTTTTGCCATTATTGCTCAAATGTTCTGCAGAACATGTTCTGTTCCACTCTGGACTTGAACACTAACTTAAGTCAGTTATCACAAATAAGTTTCCAGTTCTCACTTACGTTGGGTTGAAAGAGGTACCAGGTATGTTTGTGCCTTATCAAAAAAATGGTTAAAATACCGGGGAGAATTCTCTAATAAAAAGGATGGGGCTGCTTATCAGAAATTTTTGCAAAGAACCCTTAAGAGGTACTGAGACCCTGCTTTGTGGGTGGCTTAAAATGTTTTTCAACCCTAAGAGGTAACAATTCTAAAGCAACACATTAACTGAAACTGACTTTTTTCAGCTCCATGCCCTTAAAGGTATTGCAAAAGTTCCTGCTGTNACCAATTTCCTCCAAAGCTGCACTTCTGTTCCACCATAATATAATATAATTCTGGGTTTTCAGGAAGTTTGTATTTTTTACACTGGATCGTAACAAAGTCTCTTGTGAAATAGCTTTTCTCATGTGAAATAGCTATCTTACCACCTATGTTTTATAAATAGCAAGACATTAAAATTCAAAGAATATTTTTTATCTAGCAAAACCGTTCCCAACAAATTGTCAGCACACCACTTGAGAGAAATAACTTTAATATTATTTCTCTCCAGAAGCTATGTATGACCACAATATCAACAGAGTAAAACTGATACTTACCAAGCACTGACCAAGGGTTGTGTGAGGAATTTTGTTTTGCAAATTATTGAGCTTGACTGCTTTAGAATGGGGACACTTTTTCACACCTTTGTTTGAAGTAAACAACAAAAAAATTAATATATTTAAATTTTCTTGATATAACACTGCAAAAAATATCTCTGGTATCACTGGGCCTATTCATAACAGCCCCTTTGATGACTTTCACATATGCAATGCAAATTGACCTGTAGTTTGTCAGAGAGTAATGATTGCAAACAAGACAAATTACTTTCTAAAACTAGGCTTATAATTTAAGTAAAGTGTATCTGTGACAAAGAAATACTTATAATTAAGAGTATCAAGTCACAGACAGGCAACGCTTTCCCTGAACTAGGTTGGTATACTAACCAAGAACAAATGCCTCTTAACAGATATCAACAACTACCGGCGCCTTACAAACGACTTACCCACCACGGAAACGAAACCAACAAATGGACTTGTAACAGACTGACTTAATTTGACTAACAATAGACGGACCAAAAACCAACCAATCTGACTAACAATAGATGGATCGAAACCAACCAATGACTGATGACAAACTTNTTTGCAAATTATTGAGCTTGACTGCTTTAGAATGGGGACACTTTTTCACACCTTTGTTTGAAGTAAACAAAAAAAAAAATTAATATATTTAAATTTTCTTGATATAACACTGCAAAAGATATCTCTGGCATCACTGGGCTTATTCATAACAGCCCCTTTGAAGACTTTCACATATGCAATGCAAATTGACCTGCAGTTTGTCAGAGAGTAATGATTGCAAACAAGACAAATTACTTTCTAAAACTAGGCTTATAATTCAAGTAAAGTGTATCTGTGACAAAGAAATACTTACAATTAAGAGTATCAAGTCACAGACAGGCAACGCTTTCCCTGAACTAGGTTGGTACACTAACCAAGAACAAATGCCTCTTAACAGATATCAACAACTACTGGCGCCTTACAAACGACTTACCCACCACGGAAATGAAACCAACAAATGGACTTCTAACAGACTGACTTAATTTGACTAACAATAGACGGACCAAAAACCAACCAATTTGACTAACAATAGATGGATCGAAACCAACCAATGACTGATGACAAACTTTACACGAGTCTTTCAGCCACTACCATCATGGCTAAACTGACCAATCACGTTCAACAGACCAGACTTATAACATCATTGACTGATAGACACTATTCACGTGACTCTGAAGATGGCTTCCGCTCAGGTTGTGGAAATGTCAGTCACCAACAACAGTTCTTTTCAGAACTACACTCACCCGGACAATCACACTATACGAACTACTGACACTCCTGACACCATTTACATTTCATTGTAAACAACTGGCATGAAGGCAAGGAAGCATCACAGAAATGAATAAAAACAAGAAACCTCAGCACAAAATAAGGCAGGCTGGGTGTCCAGGATTACGAGATGCCAAAAAAACCATATTGTTTGTGCATCATTGCAGCTGAGATTTTTTGGAGGGGAGGGGAGGCATCTTTCTAAGCATAGTCGGTAAAGTCCCCTCAACCAACTACTGGTATGTTCTGGACACATGAAAATTACACCAGGTGAGTGCATTTTAAGAGTTACTCACATGAATAGTGAGTGCTGTCAAAATTTAGTTTCCAACACTGATTTGGGTTCCCATACTTTTAATTAGAAGTCTTCAATAGATTTTTATGACACTCAGGGCCGAGGAAAGAAAAAATTATGACTGAGGCAATCTCCACTGTTAAAATTTCTTCCTAGCTATTTAGCAGTGTACTATCCCCTTTCAAAAAAGAAACAACAGAAATGAAAAAAAAAATGACCACGACAAGTGACTCTACTTGTCTGATACTGGCTGTAGCCCTGACATTTCCCATCTTTACTAAATTCAGCATGCTGAAAAAACGTTGATATTGCATGACATCACAGTACAAAGGTCTATTGTCTCCAGAGTATCAGTCCTTAGACAAGAAATGCGGAAAACACACAATCATCTGGATATGATCACTGTTACCATACCAACCATCCAGAGAGTAATCTTTACTTTCAGATTAAGGGAACATATGAGGCAACCTCCAGATAGGGTCGCCATTGCTCTTGCAAATGGGTGTGAGACATGAATTGGTTGGTCATGGGTAATTAAGTTGGTAATTCATGGCAAGGTAGTACCGGTAAGCAGTGTTGTGCCAAGCATTATTTCGAGAACTCAAAGGTACTACAGAGTTCATTCTCCTATTCCAATTTCATATTCATTTAATTGGCTCACGATCGACAAAGCTTTTCGGTTTCCATCTCCTAAGGGCAGAAACCAGTACAATTTAATAATTTCATGTCCATTGGTCTCCTTATTAAATTGTACAGACCTGTAAGGAAACCGATTTCAGCACTTTTTGTGGCAGCTTCTTTTAAGAGGTGCAATTCGCGTCCTCTAAAGTTCAAAAGTACCATCATGTATACGTCAATGGGGCCGCTTGAAAGGGAACCAAAGGAGAGCTTACAATTTTGGGCAGGGTTTGGGTTTTAGCCACTTCCTAAAACGACGGCACGTTCGTCTTATTGTTCCCTTAACCAAGAAAATAAACTTCCTAAAAGAACAATTTCCGTATCCTCATTGTATTTACCTTCATCACCATTATCGTTTTCACCATCATCAGAGCCTTTGGAAGATTTCTTCCTTTTCTGCGAGTTCCGCTTGCCTCTCGCCATATTGGTCACATATATTAGTCCACATACATGACGATGTTGATAGACCGCTCTATAAAATAACAGCGGGCATATGTTCATATGGCCCGCGGGCGTTGGTGCCGAGGATGATTCCCCAAGGTACTCGTGGAGTTTATTGATTCGTTGTTTGGAAGAAAACACTAAAAGCTCTGTGCACTTAAATTGGGGACATCTAGTCTCGACACGTCTCCTTAATAGCGCCGAATAGAAATGCAGAGGAAGAAAGTGTGACAGGGAAACTTGCTGCCATCACACAGTGAGCGAGGTAGAAGTCCTTGTGGCAGAGTAAAGATATCTGTAAAAGTTTAGCTAAAATGCCTCGTGTTCTACAGTTTATCGTCCTGGCTTTGGCAGTCCCATTGCAGTATTTGATCTGCCAGTGGACTGCTCCATCTGCAAGCGAGAGAGAACAGCTAATCAAACAGTAAGTTCAGATCAAAAGACTTACTAAATGGTAACTGTTGTGCAGTACGTGCACCGACGCTTGCACGTGTGCTGAAAATCAGTGAGACTTAAGATTATAGTTAATGTAAATATGCTCACAATTGGGCCTAATATTTTTATAGTCATTAAATGGAAATCGAATTATTATCAAGTTTATATCCAAATTGGAGGAAATTTCTCTCGCTGGTGTTGTCAGCATATAGAAATCCAGTTTTTATCCTTAAGCAACACCACTCCCCCGCCACCACCACCACCCCCCTACTTCCCCCAGCCAAAAAAAAAAATTCTTTTCATCTGTCAAATCAATCCCACTACAAATTCAAGTTTTCTGCTGAGTTGTGTTGAGTTGAGACATCTCCCTCAGGAGTGAGCCACCTGGAGGAGGTGGCTGAGATTCAGGCTGTAAATTTATTGTCAGTATAGAGCAATCAGCAGTAATTTGAAAATTAATATTGATTGTATAGACTGGTTTCTAATGTGTATATTTCCATCAACTGACTACCCCAGGAGAAAATAAGATGCTGATTTATTTTGATATCCAACAGGTTTTCGAAGTCTCTGAGTCTATTTAGTGGTGGTTATATTCTTGAATGGGACAAATGGCAAGGCATGTTAGTCAACTGGACCCGTTCGTGGATGAGTTTTTTGGACGATGAGGAAGGCGAATGCCCAGCAGAGGAAGTCATCAAATTTCAGGAAAAGAATGGACACTTTGCCATGTCGACAGTGCCACGCACACCCAGGCCTAAACATGTGAAATTTCAAGTTGGTCAAGTCATTAGGCACAAGTTGTGGAACTACCGTGGGGTTATTATTGGTTGGGATGAGAGACTGAAGGTACAAATCATATTACCACAAGTCTATGAGCCCTTTTAACAAGGCTGTGAACATTTTGTAGAAAACATGTACCATGTTTCTATTGAGTTTTAGTGTAAATCTGCTAGCATTCTTTCATGAATGCAATTCTCTGATTGGCTACGCTACTCACTAACTATTCTGTGATAGACAGTGAGTAGCGTAGCAGTGTGCCCCTGTTAACAAAATGAGAGCCACTTCTTGGCATTTTCAAAGTGTCTGTGAAGAGGATTTAGATAAAGTTTTGAACGTCTAGCAGATTTATGCTAAAACAATTAAATTATTTGCTCTCGATTTCTATGCGTGATAGTTGATGAGCACAAAGCGCAAGTAAACTATCACGCGATAGAAATCTCAAGCTCGTAAATTTAATAGAAACACGAGTATAAGTTTTGGAGAATGAGAAATGCTGTTGGAACACAAGCCAACAGGCAAGTGTTTCTACAGCTTTTTCATGTTCTCCCANACGGGTTTGATTTGACAAGAAGCTGCAAAAGCTAGCTGGACTTACACAGTTAGAATTTAGAAATGAAAGAACAAATTGTGTCAGTTTGCCAGCAGTTGCTTATGAGTAAGCTAACAGAATTTTGCTGTTGTCTATTTTCTATTTACATGTAAAATTATGTAAACGGCATCACATACTTTTTTAGCTGGAACACATGTTTTACAAAGACTGGCACCATCTATTGATCGCTCTTAATGGGCCAGAGGCTAGCTGAGCCGGATCAATGAATTGATTATTTGTATTTTGTATATATAAACTACACAGGAGAGTTGAAATAAAAACTGAAATAAATGCAGCATCTGAACTGTTAGAGTACCGTATTTACTCGAATAAGCGCCGCAGCGCCTATTAAATTTTTCGCGCCTCAAATGCGGCGCTTATTCGAGCGCGGTGCTCATTTGAGGGAGCCATTGCCCGTTGCCGTACAGAACAGATTAGACAAATTCGAAATTCGACAGCAAATTTAAATTTATTTTTGACTAGGCGTCATCCTCGGCGTCGCCGTCGTCGTTGCTTAAGCTCCCTAAAGCGTGGAGGACGTCAATTTTGATTGCGTCAATAGTTTTGGTTTCTGAGGAATATGGCATTACCCATTATAAAATTAATTGCCCGGACCTGTAACAGAGCGAGGTAACCAGCGACCGCCATCAATGGTCACCAATGTGAATACGACTGAGACTACTACGTCCGCCATTTTGGTTCTATCGCAAACTCAAAAGATTGTAGGCGGAAACGTATCTGGATTCAAAAGAAAATCGTTTGCAGGTCAAAACTCTCCGGATTCAAAGGTTGGTTTTCGGCTCCAAAGTTTCCACTTTAAATTCCGGATTCACAATCTCCGGAGACTCGACCGAACCGGGGAGTTTTTATTTAGGACTCGTTAAAAATTAGACCCGTAGCAAATGCAAGTTGAAGAAATATATATTGGGGAATAAAACGAAAGAAAGCGTCATGCTCGATTGCGCCAATTTCGCTACTCGAGGGCTATTACTAATAGTCCTTTAGTAGCGCAGCCAATTAAAATGCAGGATCTGCATCAGCCACTAGTTGGGTGACACTATTCGATATACATACACCAGGCTACAATAACTAAGGCTCTAGATCAAGGATTGTACGGCGGATTGTACTGGACTTGAGCCGTAGACTCGTTTTCATGTGATCGCAATTGAGTTAATAGTTGTCATAGTTCTATGCGCGCGCAATGTCGTCACAGAGGCAAGAGATGGAGAAAGAATTTCCGAAGTCATCCCAGGAAGCTCTTTACTTAAAGTGAGAAGACGAAAGCACAGAGATGTATCACTTTCCCAAGTCATTCGAAGACGAACACAGGAAAGAAAGAAAACGGGCACGAAGACGCCGTCGCAAAGAAATGATGCTAAAGCCATGTAAGAAAGAACAGACTCATCCAGCAACATTTCCCGTCCTTGTAGAGCGGTCCAAGGCCAGCCCTTCTTCAAGGCACAGAGCAAGGATATACTTTTCCCCAGATTTTTCGTCCGCTCACGGCGCTTATGAATCGGCAGACAATAGCGACAATGAGGAGTACCACGGTACGAGAGCCAAGCTGCCAGCGCCAAACTTAGTTGGTGAATGTTCGCACCAGACGAGGACGAGAAAGAAGAAGAAAGCAACTAAAGTCGAGGAAGAACTCGGTCACTCCATATACCCATCGTATTTGGAAAGACCACCCTCCAGGAATGGGGTTAATTTTGCGCATGCGTTGGATACGCCTAACAGAAGTATGGATCCACTTTCCGCCCGAAAAAGCATGGAAAGCATGATGGGTACAGATCGGCCTGATATCAAAATCCGTTTTCAGAAACCGAACAAACTTCCTCCGATCGACAAGGAAAACAGATTCGTCCCTGATGACTATCCCTTCACGAGGAAACGTTATTAAATATGGTTGTTTTGAACTACTGCTCAGTTAAAATTGACATTGATCTTTTCTTGAATTATTATAACCAGTGATTGTATATCAGATTAAAAAAAAAAACATGATATAGTTTACTCCAGTGTTGTAAGCTTTATGCCAATTTTTTTCATTATTTCAATCCTATTGAAAGTTGCTAAAACAGTGCATTAAATCGATCATTATAATTGCTTCTTTGTTTTTGCTGTAGGTTAGTTTCTATAGAAACCGTGACCCAACTAACTGTAAAATAACTTGAATACAAAAGTAAAACTTTAGCTCTTCGACGGACACTGCTCCGAAACACTGAGGACTAACTCATTTTGCTTCCGATAAAGGGCTAATCGAAAGTCACTACGGAACTCATTAACCTGTATTAAATTCGCTCTTAGCCTGCGAAAACAGCCTTCCTTCTTCGCTCCTGCCGAACGGGGAAACGGGAACGGGGAAAACAGACCGAGACAAAGCTCAAGGGAAAGGGGAAATAGGTACTGATAGAAGACTCTCCCCCGCGAGTCTAGCTCCCATTGTTTCTTTCTCTCCGTACGATTTTTTCTTTCGTTTAATCGGAGAACTCTTTGGAGAAAGTGTTGGACATTACTGAATTATATCATTGTTTTGGAAGTCGTTTTAGATAAGACTACGAGCAGAACCTTATACGCTTAGTCCGTCGGGCGTGACGCGAAAGAAAACCGCGAGAAAAAAATAGTCGCGCGAAATCCTGCAAACCCTTTCGCGCGCTTTGGTTCTCACCCCCAGGATTTCGCCAGGTAATTTTTTTTCCTCGCGGTTTATTTACGGTTATGCTCGACGGACTAAACGAA